CAGGCTCCGCACCTGCAAGTGCACGGAGGACACGGGATGACCCGGGGAGGCAGGTGCTGCCCTGAGGGCCTCGCGGCCTGGCTTCTCGTGGGGGCAGCACCCAGTATCCTTTGCAGTCAGAGGCTCTTCCAACCCGTGTTCCTCCAGCCTCAGAAATGCCTCTGAGATGCACCAGGGCTTCTCCGAGTCCGGCCTCTGCAGGCGGCTCCCCTGGGCGGTCTGCGCCCCTGCATCTGGTGGCACTCAGGGGCTCTGAGGGTGGAGATGGGGCCGAGGGAGCTGGCGCGGGACTCGGGAGGCCCAGGCCACCCAGGTCCCTTGCACCGTGCCCAATGTGCCACCACAGCAGGGTCTGCAGTGAGCCTCAGGACACCACGGTCACAGCGCAGGTGACCAGGTGGGGCCTGGACGGGGCCGGCACTGCTGCAGCTCCCTTGTACAACAGGAAGGAAGGGGGCTGCAACCTCCACTGAGAGGCCGGCAGGCAAGACCACGAGGCGTCTCCAGGGACTCACGGCCTCCACACAGGTGCCTCCGATTCCACCCGGGAAGGCAAGAGCAACTAGAGTCCGTTCCTCACACGGAGCTGAGTGACAGACGCACACTACACTCGCCAGGGCTAGAGCCCAGTCGCTTCTCCCTCGGGCCAGGGAACAACTGTCCCCTCCCCAGACAAGTCCCTCTTTGACTAAAGCCATCAACCTCCAGGCAGCACACACGAGCGGGGTGTCCCAGGTGGGTCCCTGCATCTGACCTGCACTCACTCCCAAGCGCGAGTGGCTCCCGTGGGCTGGCTCCATCTCTCCTTGTCCCCGTGAAGTGTCAGCAGGGTGGTCTGAGGGGCAGACCACCCGGCACCAGGTGAGACACGACGTGGACATGAACACGGCTGGCACCAGCAGATACAGGGAAGGGAGGTGCCTGGGGCTTCACCAGCAACTCACGCCCGCATCGGCTATCTGGGCACTGGGGCGTTCTCTCGGCGAACAGCACCCCCGACCGGGGGGGGCCGTGCTCTTGGGTCAGAACAGAGCTGCTCCTGGGGACAGCACCGTCCCGGCCGTGTCTCTGCCTCTCCCTGCTGCGCTGTTTCAGGTGAGCCTGTACCGACGTTTAATCACACCACGCATGCAGAGAGCAGCTCCCTACGGGAGCTTGTCCCTCGAATCCTTGTTCGTTCAGACCTGCCCTTGACTAGAGCCAGACCTCCAGCCGTCACCAGAGCACCTGGCGGCAAGACACTCCACACAGATGTGCACAGGATGTCCCCTGCTCAGGGATTCTGTCACTTCTCTTCCAACTTAGCTAATTCAAACCCCACCTGGTTACAGCTTCCTCTGAAAGAAAAATGGCCTCTGATGACAGACACCTGCACTGGAGCCAGCCAGCTCTCCTAGGCACTTCCTCCAAAGGCGGAGGAAGGAACAGAGCTGGCAGGGCCGGGGCGGGCTTCGGCCAGGCTGCCCGTCCTGGGGCCTCCGTGTGACACCTGAGGCCACGGCTGCCTTCACAGACTCCTCAGCCCTGTCCAAGAACCTTCCAACCAGCTCCACTGAGAACGTTAGAAAAAGACCTAACTGCCCAGCAACGCGAGAGAAAATGCACAAACATGACGCCAAAGCCAGCGTGCGACGCCCTCTGATAGATACAAACTGCACACGCCACCTGCGCCGACCAGATGGCCGCTCTGCCTCTGGAAACCACTGGCAGCGTGGCAGCCTTGCCGGGGGCTTGCTCCCTGCGGGCACTGCCAGCACCATGTCGAGGGTGCCACCTGCGTCTGAGGAGGGTGAGCTACTGCAGAGGTCGCTCCAGAGCCCTCCTGCTTCTGACCAGCTTTCGAGCCAAGTTGAGAGAAGCCTTAAGCAAGGGCATGCCGACAGGGCCAGCTCCAACACTGCCCACCAAGGCCTCCCGGACAGCTGCTACGCCCAGGGGCATGCCCACTGCTCAGGGTGCCCGAGATACCCCCAGGGTGGCTGCCTCTCAGCCTCTGCCCGAGGTGGCTGGGGGTTTCCTGGGGCTGGCCCAGCGCTGTGAGGACCCAGCGGCTGCAGAACCGAGGAGGGGCCTCTTGCCCTTCCCCACCAAGGCTGCTGCGGCCCAAGGCCTGCCTGCCAGGAAGCAGGGATGCCCATGCCTTTGTTGACGCCCAGGTCAGGAATGCAATGACGGTGACTATGTCAGCTCGTTAAAGAAAACTAAGAGTCCTATATGCCCATTCTTCCAGGTATTTAAGATGAATGGGGCAAAAACTGCACCAGGTGTGAATCCAAAGCCCAACTGTTGGCGGCAATTATGCAAACGAGAACTGGTCTCCTGGTACTGACCTGGAGCAGGCAGCGGTCAGCACACTGGCGCACCACACACCTCCACAGAGATGATCTGCTGCTCCGGTGCCAGGCGGCCCTGGCTGGGGACGCTGTGTGGGGACGGCAGGAGTCTGTGCCCTTCAACCTCCTCCTGTCACTCTGCAAAGGCGAACCCTAAGCCCAAGGGTAAAGGGGTGGGGATGGCTCCACCGCCTCCCCCCACCAAGGCCGTGCACAGCGGGAAGTGCTCTGAGCAGCCAGGCCACTCGCGTGCCAGGACCCTCCTGTCGTGACACCTACAGCATGGAGCCAGCCAGCAGGTGTCAGCTTAGCGGTAGCTGGGAACGCGTGAGCTGAACGTGGCTGCTTTGACAATTTTTAGATGCACAGGGACGATCTTCAGTTTGATGACGTGTGGTTAACCAGAACATTCTCGTTTAGTGGGAGGAAAAAACCCTCAAGGCATGACATACTCCGGCGTTACTGGACTAGAGAAACACACTTCCTGAGAGTTCCTCGGGATCAAAGTTTGGCCCGTTTTGGGTGGTCTCCCCCTAAGCCGTGCCCTGGCACAGGGACACCCTGAAGAGGAGACAAGGCCTCGCCAGGGTGTGGGGTACTCCGGGCTGCACAGAGGACAACCTTTTTGCAATAGTTTCCTTTCAAGCCCGATTTATTTTAAATAACACAAAGTGACGCGGAGGGAATCCAGCCACGCTGCACTCCACATAACTCCTGGCCCAGTGCCGCATCTCAAACAGACTCGTCAAAGAAAGTCTTCGCCATGGCCTGGGCCACCCTCAGCACTTTCTTCTCCTTTGCGTCGGGCTCCACATTGTCCCGGGCGAGCTTCACCCAGTGCGGCTCGGTCCTGGGCAGATAGTCGGCAAACTGCTCGCCAGGCGCCACCGCGGGGGGCTCTTTCCCACGGGAGGAGGGAGGAAAAGAGAAAGAAACGCATTCAGCTGAGGGGGCGCCTGGGCGGGCAGTCTAGAGACGACACTGGGTGTTATCAGAGAAACCACATCAACGCTGCACTGAGAAGCCGCTCACTGCCCAGACCCACTGCAGACGCCAGTGTCTCCTCACAGCTTGGGCCCGCCTCAAGACACTGCCAGCTAAAGTCAAATTCTGATAGAAACCTAATAAAAATGTAAAATCTTTCATTACCAACAGAAGTGTGGCCCTGGGCAGGGAAGAGGCCCTATGGTCGGCGGTGTCCCCACCCCGAGCTCCCGCACAGCAGGCTGCGCCACCACGAGCCTGCCCTCACCTCCGTCCTCCGAGCTGCCATCCTCTGCGCTGTCCTCCTCCTCCTCCTCCTCGCCACCCTCGGCACCCTCGGCCTGGTCGCTGTCCTCATCGGAGTCCGTCTCCTCCAGCCACTCCTGAGTTTCTTCGAAAGCAGAACACACGCACTCACGTCAGGGCGACCATGCCACGGCAGCGGGCCACCTCCCTGGAGGATTCTGTTTTCTGACTCAAGAACTGTGAGGGGAAATCTAACTCTCCTGCCCCAAACACCCTTGGACCAGCAAAGAGAGCAGACTATTGCCAGGATTTTAGAGCAGAGACCCTGAGGTGGGCAGACACAAATCACACCCCTCTCCCCGCCAGCCAGGGGCAGCTAGCTGGGGCCCACGTGGCAACCCAGGTTCACTGGTGGCTATTCCTAAACACCCCGCAGCGATGGTTTGATACCTTTCCCCAGATACGTGGACTTTGCTTTTAGTCTCAGATCTTTAGAAACCTGAGTAGTGACCTGAGACCAGCAGCCGTCTGGGGTGGAACGGGACCACAGACTCAAGGAGCAAAGACAGAGACGGCCCAGAGAGCATGGTGGAGCCGGGGCTCAGACTCAGCGGCCGGAGACCCGGTGCCCGCTGGCCTGTGGACGGCAGGCTGCCCACGGTCAGAGAAGGACACTCTGGACAGATGGGAGGTGGGCGTGCCAGTGTCCCGGGCCACCACAAACAACAGCTCCCGTCAGCACCCGGAACAGGGGACGGCCGTGATCGGGGGTGGGGGGGGGTTCCCTCTCCATGGCGGGTCCTGCCCTGTGTCAATCTGGCCGCGGGGCCTGGCGCACAACCCACGTCAAGGCTCGTCAGCTCGGAGTGACTGTGGGCAACGTGGGAAGCTCGTAAAGGACCCGAAACACAACAGCTTGGGGCTCGGGCTCCCACGCAGAGGGGTGCGCACCCCACCCGGCTCACCTGGGTCCATCTCCACCAAAGCCTTCCACTCCTCCATCTTGTGGAGGTCGAGACAGTATAAGTCGCTGAGGGTGACCTGGCGGTCACCTGCTTCAAACATGCCCCCGTAGACGTAGAGCACCCCGTGCTTCACGGCCAGCATGGCGTTGGAGCGCGGACTCGGCTCGACCACGGGGCTGCCGGCTTCCTCGGGACTATCTTCGTCCTCGGGCTGGGGCCGTCCCGCCGCGTGTGGGGCACAGAGCATCTGCTTGATGGTGACCACCGTCCCGTCCTCCACTGCCACCTCCGTGACCACCTCCAGGGGTGCCAGGGTGCCGGCTCCCCCACACGCCTGCTCCTGCTCGTCAGCTCCCTCAGGCCCCGCCCTCCTGCCCCGCCGGCGCCGTCTCTTCTCCGTCTTGGGTCCCTGATAACAGAAGAGGGAGCAGAGAGCAGCGAGCTGCAGGGGAGCAGGGGACGGCCCTGCCACGTCCACAAGGCCAGGTTCTGTGAGGACAGAAGCCAACGTGGGGTCGCATGATGGAGGAAAATGGGCCAAATGCCCTGGGGGCAGCACACCAGACAGGCAGAGACGCGACTGTCTCCCACCGGCCTCACCGTTCACTGCTGGCCTGGAGAAAGCAAACTGCCGAGTGCCCCCGACTGGGCAGCATGCCACGCACCACTGAGACGTGGACGAGGCCCACCAGACTCCCAGAAGCACCGCGCCGGCTCTGCACGCTTGAGTTCGCCTGGAAAGCCCCTTGCGCCCAGAGGGGCTGCAGAAGCCAGGATGGCCCTTGGCTTCCACCCTTTGTCAGGGGCAAGGACGACACAGCAGGTCCACAATCCGAGATGACGCACAACGAACGCCGAGCCCAGAGCGGAACCTTCAGTAGCCACGTTCCAGGAGCAGCTCTCTGGTCAGGCTGCCTCCTGTGGGGCTGTGGCTGCCTCGCAGGCTAAGTGCGGACCCTTCCGCCACCACCTGTCACCTTCCTGCAGAATGCTGCCGTCTCACAGGATGACATTTGCCGTGTTTTCAAACTTTCCAACCGTCACCACCCCCAGAACCCCCCAGGTCAGACTCAAACTCTAGACTTCCAGGACCTCCTCCTTTCTGAGACTGGGCTTCATTCTGAACCAAAGAGGAGCGCTCTCCCGGGGCCTCAGTAGTTTTTGAGAGTAGAAAGGAGTTCTGGGGCCAAACAGTTTGAGAGCCGCAGCACTGACCACCTGCTGGGGCTCTGTGCTCTCCGAGAAGCCACGGGGAGAAACCGGCACAGCCTTTGCTGGAGTCGGCCGTTCCAAGAGTAAAAAACTGAAGAGGACCGTGAGTCCAGAAATGAACCCTCACGCGTAACTGATTTTCCCCAAAGGGGCCACGATGCTTCGATGGAAGCTGAGTGTTTGTGCCAGATGGTGCTGCAGGGCCTTCTGGGTGTGGCTGGTGACAGACTCACGTGGACCCCAAAGCTGACAGGGGTTCCACTCCTGGGACCGTCCCACTGCCCTGCCCACCCCTGGCCAGCAGCTGTGCTCACAGCACAAGGAAGAAGGCGGCGGGAAGCAGGGACACGCGCGAACTCCATAGACGCGAGGGGCAGGGAAGTCTCGGGCATCTCACCTCGGGCCAGCGACTGACCCAGGTCAGGCCTGGGCACCAAATCCAAGGGCTCCAGGCGCACGCAGAGACAGGACCCCCTCCCAAGCACGTGCAGACTCTCAGAGTCACTCTACCTTCAGCTGTCCTGCAAACCAGCGGTTCCTGGTGGCATCGTAGAAGTACAGGTCGTTGAAGAAGTCACCCTCCAAGCGCTCCTCTTCTTCCTCGTCACAGACTCCCCCGAAGAGCAGCGTCTGGTGATTTGGCGCCATGGCCACCGAAAAGCCAGACCTTGGAGTGGGCTTGACTCCGGAAGGGTTGATCCGAGACCACGCCCACCTTCCTATCAAGGGAGGACGAGGAAGTGGGGTCAGAGGGAGGGGCCCTGAGAGCTGACCAGGGACGGCCCAGGCCCCCCAGGCCTCCCTAGTGACAGAGTGAATGAAAAAACACAAGACTCGGGCAAAAGACACCACAAGTACTCCTCCTGCTCCCTGGGCAGAAAAACCAAACCAACGCTGCCACACCCCAAGTTTAATCCTTCTCGAGGTTCGGTTCGCAGTAAGGTAACTCTTCACATCCCCTCCGCACACCCCACCTACGGGGCGGTTTCAAGCTACGGCTCAAAGGCAGGGATGAGACAGAAGCGGCGCGCTATGCGCGGCCACCTGTGCAGCTGCGTGCGGGGAGGAGACGTCAGATCGCACTGCGCAAAGCGCAAGACCCGCCCCCTGGTCGTGTGAGCACGTGGGAGACGCCAGCCCACGACACACGCGTCTCGCTGTAGGTCCAGGAGTCGCGCGCACAAGCCTGGGGCCGCACTTCCAGGCGCACGGCTGCCGCGTGCACACCTGGGTCCCTGCTCCGGGCAGGTGTGTCCTCGGCAGCCCCTGCAAGTGCACGTGGGCAGGGGACGCTTCTAGGCGTCGGCCTGAGGAATGTTAGAGCAGAAAAGAGGCGAAGACACTCTGCACAACCACCTCCTCCCCCAGGAAGGTGAAGGACTTGCCACAGGCCACACGGCAGACCTGCCCTCAGAGGCAGCCGCTCCCTCAGTTTCCACGTGGCACCGCGGACACCGAGGCCACGATAAACCACCCAGAATCCCACGTCCCCATCTCTTTCCCTTGCTCTTGAGCAAGAATAAAATTCTTTAAAAAATCAAGCAATGACACAAGAGTAGTGCCTGGTCTTTCAACCCTACACGCTACCTGCTACCTACGTGTGTGGCTTCTGCCACTTCAGGGGGTCTTTAAAGCAACCACTGCCAAGAAATGCCACCTATAGCGCATTCCCAGGAATACGGAATGTGTCGTAGGCCACGCGTGGAAGGTGGGGAGGGTGGCTGACCCGTCCAGGACCCGGCTGGGTGCAGGGCCACGCTAGGCTCCCCCATAAGCAAGCCCATGTCATCCTTTTAAAAAGCCCCAAGGAAATAATCATTGGTACCCTATTTTTCAGTAAAAAAACTCTGAGTCTTAGATCCAAGCTCAGCTCAAGACTTTCAGGAATCTAGGCACCCTGAGAGTGCTCTGAATTCGGTAAACCAAACCACACTGGGGTGTGGCCATTTTGGAGGCTGTCACCATTCTGAGGAAGAATTTCTGAAATTCTGTGAACAAGCAAGCACAAGTCCCTGCCTCGGCCCACACGCAAGACAGCGAGCCCCTGTCGTCCACAGTTCCAAGTGTACCTGGTGACTCAGGTGGGCTCAAGACCTACGACTGTGTCCCACAGAGAGCTGCAGAGGCCCTACCTGCGGGGACCAGCACACTCTGAGGGGAGGCCGCCTCTGGTGCGTGTCTCAGTGGGCAGGACAGCATTCCCCCGTGCCCGCAGCTCTCCACAAAGGGAAGGTCAGCGCCGCCCGTGCGTCTGAACACCCCCGCCCCACTGCGTCTGCAGACGGGACACTCAGGTTATGCGGAGCGTGTGCGGCTCGGCACAGCCTGCACCAGGCCGCCTCTGCCTCGTCTGGGAGCGGCTGCTCCAGGGCGAGGCAGACTGGCCCTCAGCCACGGGCAGTGTGCGGCGGCCACCTCCAGCCCCACATCCACAGGAGACAGCGAGGGCTTCATCCCTGCCCGTGCGCCAGAAAGGGCTTGCCTCCGCGCAGCAAGCAGACCCGCCACGCGTCCCAGAGCACAGCGCCAGTACCTTCTCTCCCTTCCTCGGACTTCAGCAGGAACATGTCTGAGTGCGGGGTACCTCTGTCCACGTCTTTCTTGACTCTCTGCAAAAGGAAAAGGAGTCGTGTGAGAACCATCTGGGCACCTACAGCAGCTGGCCACGGCGTCCTCAGACGGGAGGGATTCGCAGGCTCTCCCTGCAGGCCAGCCTCACGGGAACCTGAAGCCAACAGAGCTGCCGCGATGCCTTTGGAGCGCTCCGACGTCACCTGGCAGAGACAACTGCTTACCTAGGAACAGGATTTCTAAAATCCACTGTTCTAATGGCCGCAATCCTGCTAGGAACACTCCAGAGCTGCGGTCCCCAACCCTTGGACCAGTACTGGTCCCTGGCCTGTTAGGGACCAGGCCACAGAGCTCCGCCACTGCCCCCCAACCCCTGTGGAAAAATTGTCTTCCATGAAACTTGGGGGGTGAGGGGCACAGCAAGAGGTGAGCGGGCAGACAATGAAGTTTCATCTGTATCTGCAGCTGCCTCCATCGCTCACGTCACCAACTGAGCTCTGCCTCCCCCCGTCCAAGCAAAACTGTCTTCCAGGAAACTGGTCCCTGGTGCCAAAAAGGTTGGGGACCGCTGCTCTAGAGCTCTCGTACTGGAGCTTCCTGTGGCTCCCACGGAGTCCCTGGTCCACGCGGAAGGGCGCTACTGGAGACACCACTGGATGCTGGCACGTGTTACAGAGCCACGCTTCATGTTCAGTTCCTGTGTGTCCTCATGCCCACCACTCTCCAAATCCTGGGACTCAGGCTTCTGCACGGAGATCAAATTAACGTTCTGTACAGAAGCTGGACGCAGACACTGTCCACTTAGAGACTTTTCTGAGCTTTGAAAACAAAGAAGTCCATATCCCTTAATCCTTCGTTTTCTGCTTCAACTGAATCCCACCACCACCCGCCAGACCAGGCGCCAGCACCCGACCGCCACACCGCATACGGAGGGGCAAAAGCGTCCAGGAGGCTGCTCATCATCACGGTGCCCGTCCTGGGCGCAGGGCTTCCAGTCCACGTCAGTTTCTTCTTTGTATTTGTGCTTTAAATTCTCTATTTTTGATGCAGTTTATCTTAGAAGTCTGCACACACAGAAGCACCGAGCAGGCACCACAGACCCCACATACTGCACCAGCCTCCAGCCTGCGTTCCCCTGGGGCCTCCGTCACAACCCAGAAACCAGCACTGCCTCGCTGTCAGCACCACCGTCCACAGAGTCCCTCGGTTGTCCGTCCTGTCCCCAGGTGCATCCAGGATCCCATGTGGCCTTTAGTCATCACGTCCCCTTAGGTTCCTGGCAGGACTGTGACGGTTTCTCAAACTCTCCCGTCTCTGATGACCTTGACGGTTTGAGGAGTGCCACTCTGGTATTTTGTAGAATGTCCTGTTGGGATGTGTCAGCTCTTTTTCTCGTGATTGGCCTGAGGGGTGGTTTGGGGGCGGAAGACCCCTGAGGTGAGGTGCCCTTCTCATCACATCCTGTCGCGGGGCCACACGTCAGCCCGGCTCGTCACTGCTGGTGTGGACACACCGCCTGTACTCTGTGGGAACACCTGTGTGTTCCAGCGATGCGGTTTCCACACGTCACCGACAGCTGCTAGGATTAGACAGTCTCTTTCCCAGCAGGCCGACACAGAGGAAGCAACCGCCACGTCCATGCCTGCTCTTCCAAAGCACAGGGCCCAGCGATACGGGGAACTGAATTCACACCAAAAGGCCTCATCTGCTGAGGGGACAACCAGGGAACTCATGACATCTCTATTTGTCACCAGAAGCACTCAGCTTCAGATCTTTCAGCCTCCCGGCAGCAGCCTATGTCTGCCTGTGTGAACTGGACTGTTGTTTGCTGACAGCAACATTTTCTTAGCATAACAGACCACAAGAGAATCTTTTGTGTGGTAATACTTCAACACTTCTCTCAACACCCAGGAACTGGATGGCCGGGTGTGGTGGCTCGGGCCTGTAATCCTAGCACTCTGGGAGGCCAAGGCGGGAGGATCACTTGAGGTCAGGAGTTCGAGACCTGGACACTCCGGCGGGCCTGTCCTGCTCCCGCGCGGGCAGCCTCATGCCTCCAGCAGAGCCAGCCAGCCCTGGGTCTGTCCTCCCAGCAGCTTCCAACTCCTCCTTTTACGGTAGGTTTTTTTCTTGAAGTGTTGTGATTTCCCCCCAAATCTAACCTATTTGTCTTCAAAGGGAACACCAAAGAGCTGCCATGTGTTATTTTCTTACTCTGGGTTCCTATACATGAATTCTCTCCATTAATGCAGATCATACTAGCTTTAAATTCGTGCAGTTAGATTTTCACAAAAATGGACTCAATTGTACTAGAAAAGTAAAGAGAATTTACATGAATTTTTGAAGATGTCACACTGCTGTCTGGGGACTGCAAGGCTCCGATGATGGTCCCTGCTTTTCTTTAAGGACGAGCTCTTCCTCAAGAAGCTCAGGGACCGCTGCGTTGACGCGCCGGAACAGTAGCCCAGGCGTGCGTTTTACTGAGAAGTTATTCCTTCATCATACATTTCAGTTTAATAGGTTAGGGGAATCCAAAGATACCCTGGAGGAAGGCACATCCAGTGTTACGACACTAAGTTTAGAAACAATATGTTGTCTCTGAAATTATTCAGTCTGGCTAAGACACGAGCCCAAGAACAGCCGAGCATGGAGGTCCAGATGCTCTAGTCGCACCTGATGCTACCGCATCATGGGGCCCCACCTCCACCCACCTGCAGCTCTGCAGACAGGGTCCCCAACGCAGTAGCTTCCGTTCGCTCGGCCCCGAACTCAGGAGAGCCGAGGGCGCTGCAGGGCCACACCGAGGATCCCTGCCATCCTCGCAGGCAGAACACGCCGCCTCGACCCCAAGGTGCCCTGACCATAGTGACGCTGGCTGTCCAGCGCCCTCCTGAGTGCACTCCTGCAGGTGGGCTGGGTGCAGCTGGAACCAGGTTGAGGTGCAAAAACAAAACGAAAAGGGCTGATGGAGAAATTATCTTCAAGGAACTTGCTTTTCAAGGGCCAACTAAACCAGCCTCAGTCAACACATCGGAACCACAGACTGCCAAGAAAATGGAAACCAGCAGGGCAGCAATGAGCTCCCCTGAAAAAATAACGGGTGTCCCCAAATGTGGATGTGGGGAGTCACCAAGACTGGAGTCCAGCCAAACCCCTCTGCGTAACCGTCCACACCTGGGCACGGCCCACCTTCCTTACCAGAAGGCCGGGCTAAGTGTGGATTCTCCATCTGCGTCCAAGACCATCTTTACTAAGTGACAGTGACCCAAACCCTCTTCCCATCACTTTCTAAAACTGAATATTTTCAGCTTCACCATTTTAAAAATACGCAGACGTGATCAGGTGTGGCCACAGGTCTGTGTGTATCAGGACGTGAGCAGGAACCACTGCTGTGTCCAACTCCCCGGAACAGCACAAGCTGGCCCGCCTCGCAGACGCGACAGACACCGCACGCACCCGGCACAGCTGGCAGTG